GAAGAGGGCGCCACCAAATTTTGAGGACACTTTTTTAATTGGCTCAAAGAGAGAAGTGGCCCATCTTGTCTTGTACTATCATTGGTTCCGTAGATTGTTTTTAAAGTTAAGTTCTTTAAAGGTTACCTGTGGGCTTTTTTACATCCCAGGATATAAAAAATAACTGTGGTAGCTTTGTTTACAATATTGACACATTTGTTTTAAGAGTTTGACTGTGTCTGTTCTTTTTATTCTGCTCACGAATGTTCTAGTTTATCCGACAAAAATTATACATTCCTCTTTTTAATGCCTATGAATAATTATCAGCACTGATGGTATCACTTAATTCCTAGTGATTCCTATTACTTTCTATGTATAGAAACATCAAAGCAGTTTACTGGTCCGTCCATTTTATAGGATTTGTTCATGACAAATGTTTGTGTGTCTTCATTTTTACATATGCCCTCAATTGATATGAAATGCCATGTTTAGATTTTTACAAAACAAACTATATCTCTTCCCCATGCTTGTCAATATCAAGAAGAGATGCAGAAATTGTCTTTTCTCTCTTGTGAAGTGAGTTATCTTTGTGATATAGTAGCCTACAAGCATACAAATGTACTACTGATTACATCTATCTTAAACGGATAATAATGTTCATTATTTTTATAAATGCTGGCAATATGAAATTACTGGTTCTGATGAGACCTATTTACCTTCGAGTTTGGCTATTAAAAAGGTTAATTTCATGAAATGAGTAGTGCCCCCCCCACCAAGACCTTATATTTTATTGAAATAATATTTGCACAACGCTGAATTTGTGATGAAGATTTATAGGGTTTTACAATATAATAGTAACAGAAAAGTGTCTCACATAAGAAGCAAGGTCTTGTGTAGCTGTGTGACTTTTTGGTGAAATGATCAATAAACTGTGATTTCAAATTTGAAAATTATGTCTTATGTTTTTTTCATGTGAGTCTTAAGCTTAGATCTGAAGTTTGGAGTCAAGATATTGCTTGTATGGCATTGTAAATGTATGCCCCTCGTGCCTCTTTAACGTAAGTTTATTATAAAAGAAAGCATCTCCAAAATTAAACCAACATATGTGGTGTAGCAGTTAGGCGTTGTGGCATTCATTTAGAAGACTCTTGTTTGATTCCCAAGTGGTGAGACTACTTTCATCCTGGGTTGGCCCTGACAGGCAGGGTCGAAGTCCGCCTTCAAAAAAATGATTTAAGTTGTATTGATGGGGGTGTAAAAAAACCTACATTCTAAGAATAAATTCATCCTGCTATTATTGTCCTGGGATGTTGCCTTTTGGTAGTTTAAAAAAAAAACCCACACCAAATTTTCTTTTCTTTCAATAACCCAAAGAAAAAGAACAACAACAACAACAATAACATCATCTTTTATTGGTGCACAAGATTTTATCTAAAGCAAACACATTAGAAAGTTTCTGTCCTGTTGTTTGTATTCCTCATATTGTTGACCTGTTGTTCACATGTACAATCGAAGCCCAAAATTTTAAATGCTTTTTCTTTTATTGCAGTTTCATAAATTATTCTATAGTATCCGTTGCGTTGTTCGAGAAGTATAAATATTTTTGTTGAAATTTAAACTCTAAATGTTGAAAAATGCAAGAAAAAATAGATAACAATTCAGGCACAATTGTTAAAAGAATAGAACAGTTTTTTTTTCTTTCCTGAAAACTTTTGCTCTGTGGGCCAGGTACATTTCAGCAGCCCTCAGGCGATATACATTATTAAAAAAGCTATGGCAAAGGTAGATCAGATATTATAAGTTGCCATAAGTTTTTTGTACCGCAAACTAGAACGATGTGTGCGTGCTTTATTGTATTAAAACTAGATAAATTGTACCAATCCGACAAAGACATTCAGAGAGGTCAGAAAATGACATTTTTGTTTTAAAGCGCCGATTTAATAATACATATGTCTACTTCCACTGCATCATTGCATGCTGGTTCCTGAACTTTTTTTTTATCCCACAGGAAATTAATCTAAAGATTGTTTTGATATTTGTTGTCTTGTTTCTTTCTTTTTGTGATTTTTCAATTAATAAGATTATTGTAATTTTGTTTTTGTTTAGTCGCCAGGCAAAGCAGCCTCTTTGTCCGATAAACTTTCTTTCAATTGCTGTCCACGTTAAAAACTGCGCTAGAAGAAATACTGTAAATCTTTTTTTTTTCCCTCACGCATTCCCTGCATTATTTTAGATGATGTATCAACCTCTCTCTAACATCACAGAGCTAGCAATTGTTACAACGGCCAGACTTTATATATATATATATAAATATATAATATATATATATATTTACAACTGATCCACTGTCTTATCTACCTGAACCACCTCTAGACTAACTGTAAGCTTCCTCTTTGCTCACTCAGACTCGCACTTCTTCCCATCTCCTTGTTCGCTCACACTCACGCGCGTTCATCGTCGGTCTGAATCCCCGACACGTTCGTTCGTTCCTTCGTTCGCTCGCTCACCCCGTGCCCAGCTCACGCGCGTCTACGAAGAGCTGCTTACCATTTATGTCTGTGAGGTGAGGGAAGACGCCCTACGACTCTAAATTTACAAAAGCTTCCTAGAAAAACCGCGCCTGGGAACCTACGCTAGTATAGAAGTAGAAGGCAAGGCTGGTCGGGGTAGGTAGAGCAGGCCAGCCAGGGGTATGTGCGTGTGAGTGAGTGAGTGAGTGAGTGAAAGAGAGCACTTTTACAGCCCGTGGGAGCAGACGCGAGCGAAAGGTGTGGGAGGGAGGAAGGAAGTGAAGGAAGGACGGGAGGGAAGAAGTAAGGGAAGGAAGGAAGGAAGGACGGAAAGGGAGGGGTAGGCTGGGTGAGTTTAGGAGAGAGAACGGAGAATTCGGGTTGGATTAGATGATGAAAGTGCAGAAGGAGGAGGAGGTGGAGTAATATCGATTACTTTCTGCTGGCACCTGAAAGTACCTGACTGTTAGCGACTAATGACCCACCTGAGGGTGAACTGGAGGTCAAAGGTCGCCTACATAGAACACCTGAAGCTTGTGAGGAGCACATTAACCATTGTGTTTACCTGTCACATTTCTTTAGATTCTCAAGCTCATAGAAGCAAATAAACGAGAGAGAGAGAGAGAGAGAGAGAGAGAGAGAGAGAGAGAAAAAGGTTTAAACAGATA